TTAAGACTATCTATTATTGACACTTTCATTACTACCTACACTCAGTGAATTAGTTTCATATGTCATTTTCACTGCAGCCGATTAAGTCATTCCTCGTCATATGAATAAGACTAGTTCTATAAAATTAATTAGAATCTAAACTATGCTAGTTAATATAACTAATCATGGTAGGGAACTGAGCAACAGAGGAGTTATTAATGAACTGCAATTCAAGAATGACAAACATATAACATTAGTTAGTGAATGAAATGAAATTTTTTCAGTAAATCATATGAATTTACCATTCACCAAATATTTAATAGTTGAACAATTAAAATGGATATAATGATTAACCGTAGAACACTTCTATAAGTTACAATCGATTGATCACTGAGTGGTGACGACCGAATTCCACCGATCAAGTTCCAATGTGGTCAATACTTTGAGGGAATTAAGCTATTATGAAATATGTTGTTATGTTAGATACCTGGAGGTAGTTCAAACCGTAACTTCAGTTTTGTGCTAAATATAGGACTCGTCAGCAACATGTACCTGTAGTTTTGAGAGAACTAGCGTTTCATGGCCCAAATGGTTCAGCGATGTCTCAGGATGTGAACCTACGTGGAACAAGAGCACCCATCCCCTCAAAATTATAAGCAAAAATTTGTTGACTGGTATCAAATTAGCACAAAGCCTAGATCCGTGATTGCCTGTCAATTATTTCCAACTAACTAACAGTTCTAGAAGTCTCATTCCCCTCAATAATTTGCTCTGATAGAAAAAAAATGAACGCTAATTTTAGTCTATGTGATTCTGAGACCAGAAAAATTTCTCAATTATTGATTTCTTATATTAACTAAGCCTTAAATGAAACAGTCTACTAATTCTTATATACGTTTGACCAACAATCACTGACTTCTTTTACAAATCGTTTATTTATTTTGTTCGCAAAAACCAAGATCAATGATCAATGTTTTCTACTTGGTTGTTTCACTACAATCAGATGATACTTAGATATCTTTTCTCATGTTTTGCACCTCTTTAAATGTTAGAATAATCAGAAGTAGAATAGTTTAAAGTGAATTTTATACAGTGGATTTCTGTTTAACAATTTATCCCGAATAAGGTATTGTGGTAGACCAAAACGTATACTAACCAAAAGAAATAGCAATAAAGTTATTACGTCCAAAAGTTAATGTAACATAAATAAAAGTTCAGGGATGTTACTTAAATCAGCTGACTGTTGTGTGTTCAGTTGAGTTTGGTACCAAAATCCACAATTATAGATAGTTAATAATCTCAACGAGGTAAATATGGCTCCAGTAGGTTTTCCAAACGTAGAATACAATGGAAATGACACAACAGTCAGTATAATTAATGTATGTTGTTGAAGAGTCTCAAACCTTAAACGTAGCAGGTGTCTATTAATTATTTCTTTTTGTCAATAGTTCTCTAGTTGATATCAATAACAGTGATGTAATATTTCTTTAAGAATTCATCTGTAAAGCTGAAATATACGGGCAAGCCCATAATATACTTGGAAATGGTTTCAAAATTAAGGTGTGTACATCAAAACAGAATGTTGTCTATTGAATGTAGATGATTAGTTACGGCTATCACTATGCTCTATGTCCTAAACCTTACCTTAAATACTGAACTATACATTCTAGCCCTATATCTTTATCCTTACTCAAAATAATAATCATAACTTTTAATTCTAAAACCCAAATCCTAGCATTAACATTATAAATCGTTCTTATTTGATGTTTTCTGATTGCCTGAATAGGATCAAAAGTCTGTCAAGGTCATTTGGGATAACTACGGCTCACTCATATTGTTCAGTCTTACTAATTCATTCACCGATGATCATTTGAAAATCAACCAATTAAAAAGTGTTTATTTTTCTGATTACGGTTAGTGCATAAATACTACATGTTAACACAAGTTATTGGGAATAGTATTAGAAAAGTTATACAGCTTACTTCTTTCAAGTGTGAATGTTGAAAAAGCTATCAGTTTGTTTTGCACATTTCGATAATTTTATAATGTTATTATATTGAGCGCCTGTCTGGATGCCCTGTTTAATATCTGACGTGATGATCCCCACCAATCAGAGAGGAGTGAATTATCGGTGAGAGTGATGATACACAAAATTCGTATGTGCAGTCTTGTGTAATTATCAGTTCTGATTTCTGCCTAACGCAGCCAGTTAAGTTCAGAACACCAATAACAGCCTCGGCAATATGAATCATTATTCTCAAACATACTGGGTTTATGTACCAAACAAACAGACCACATCGTACCATAAAACAGAAAGTAACACAAGGGGGTTTTGTGAATATTTTAGTAATTTTATATAGTTGAGATCATGAGTCAGTTGAAGCTAGACCATCATGGAAAACCTGAAAGCACTGGACTGCTGTTTCGTCCTATTATGGGACTCCTCAGCAGTGCACATCCACGATCCCGCCTCGTGAGTTTCCAACGCAGGACCTACCAGTTTCACGCCAGAGCCCTTAACCGATAGGCCACTGAGCCGGCCGGTATCCAACGGTGTTAATGTCTAACCTCAATCCCGCGAGGCGGGATCGTGGATGTGCACTGCTGACGAGTCCCACAATAGGACGAATTGGCCGTCCAGTGCTTCCAGGTTTTCCATGGTGGTCTAGCTTCAACTAACTCATGATCTTAACTATATAAACTAGAAAATAACATTTGTACAATATTTGGCCAAGTTTGCTTGTGAATAGGGGGAACAGTAATTAATGAATTAGGGATAACTCAAGAATAATAAATCGTATAATAATAATCTATAGATCAAAATAAAGCTTATAAAAAGAGGGACACGAATATAGATACTTTAGTTACTTAACTATTATACAATATATTTCAAAGTTGAAATCATGAGTCAATTGAAGCTAGACCACCATCGAAAACCTGGAAGCACTGGAAATATACATATCACATCGGTCCATAAATAGTCCTCAGAAGTTACCATTCATAATTCTCTTCGGGATATAACAAATGTGAAGATGAAGTTAACCTGTAAATATGATATTCTGACACTATACACTTTGAATAATTTGGTTGTATTTTTAATTTAATGAAGGCTTTGTGCATAAGTAAACTCAAACCTTTTTTGTGTTTTTTTGACAAAACAATTGATTCTAACCTTGAGTCTATTTGATTTAAACACCCAAGATGGTCCATGATAAGTTCTTATTCATTCGAAATCATATTAATTATTTCTTTTGTTTATTTTCAATTATCACTTTATGTTTATTTGACCTTTAATTCAATCAATGACCTTGACAAGTTTTTTTTTGTAAATAAAAATGCATTCATAATGATGATATATGTGTGGTCAAACTATTCGGAATTTATAGTGCGTATACGTTACATTTTTCAAATCAATATCCGTTACTGATCACGTTATCAAAAGCAAAAAATAGCCATTTTTGAGATAAATAAAGAAGGAGAAAGCCGTTAACATTTGCTGTGAGGTTAAATCTTTTCCTACTGAATGATGAAAATTGAGTGTAGTGTACGAAAAATTAAAGGCGGAAGTAAACACTCAAATTTGGGTGATAATTTTTGAAGCTCTAGTGATAAGTCATAACCAGTGAAGTTAAGCGGTTTTACGTGCGAAACAACGATTAAGATCAACAAAATTGCGAATTGATTGAAATTTTACATGTAAACCATTGGATATTAGCTCAATTGTCTAAAGATTAAAGGCTCTCCGCGACGTCTAAAAGTTCTTGGTTCAATACCCAGTGATGTTGTGGAGGAACATCACTGATGAGTCCCAATCATACTGGGACGAAACAGGTGTAGAATGCTTCCTGATTCTTAATATTTGATCAATTGAAATGTAACCCCTTGAAAATCGATAACACAACAATATCACATCAGTTGTAAAATAGTAATAGTAAGAAAGTTTTTAATTCTTTGTTTTATTTTTTTCATTAATGAAAAGGATTATCAGTTCAAGTAGAAGCTACTAGAATGAGTGTGTTCGTTTTCAGTTAGGTAGTTTACCTGTAACGCTGTCATTTGTCTTTCTGATTTATATCATGGGCTAAATATGAAAAAGGAAGTTTAAAAAAGTGTCTGAGAATCTGAAACTATTAGGCTTTTATTTGTCCTTAGTTTATGTCTGTGAAATGTCAAAAAGTCTGAACTATAAAAGACACAGAGACAAATTAATGGATATCGGTTCAGTAGCCCAGTCCAGTAGTCTTGAAGGTGTGTGCTCATTAGTGAGTTCCGTACTAAAACTAAATAACTAGTTTCCAATAACTGTTCATGATGTAAACTATTAAATCAAAAAACGTATTTTCAACGTTTCTTCATTTTAAATATTAGTTTGGACATTCAACAACTAGCTTTCTTTGACATAGAATAAATGGAATATAGAATGCACACTTTGTCCTCTTTGAAATCCGTCAGCTGGATGTATCTACATGTCATAGTTAATCTCCAATCCTAAATTCGAATTAAACACTGTTCACTTCAAGCACCATCAAGTTATCCACTTATTTTGTATTATAATGGCTACATCGAAACAATCCACATTGGATGCATATATGCCAATGAATACTGATCAGATTTCGGTCAAAAATAGCAATGAAATAATCTAAACTACTTAGAGTTGAAGCAAAGATGGATAGTGGCTAACAGGGGAATACAGGACGCACGTTTCGTCCTGTTTCGGACTCATCAGCTAGATGTACCTACATCTCACAGTTGATGTTCACTCTGGGACTCGAACCCAGTACCTTTCGCTTCAAACGCCATCATGTTATCCACTTAGCTATTGAGTCCTGATAGCCACTTGCTTGCTCGATGAGGTGAAGTTAGAGACTGACCAGTTGCAATCCTAACACATCGATGGGAAGATTCAAACAAACAATACTAAATGAATTACTTGGAGTTGAATTAAAACAATAATCATAATAATCCATATTTGGTTATTGAAATTACTGTAATTTCTCATTGTTTTTCCCTTTTGCTAATAGTGTTTTATCATCGTTTATGACGTAACAGATATGGAATCATTTGAACAAATACGTAAATATTGGCTTAGAACCGTAGATGAGGTAACTATTCAAAATGATGTTGTCTATATATGTATAATGTTTATATTTGAAAGTTAATCCATTGACGAAAGCTTGCTTTTGTAGCCAAAACTAATATCATTGAATACATCATATTATTATATACTCTGAATAGTTTTTCCGATGTATTTTGCCAACTATTATTGTTAATGATGTTCTATGATTTAAACGTGTTGAGTTACATACAACGTTGACAAGGATCATGTTATCCCAGATGATAAGAAAAACTATACAGTTAGATCATCTATCAAAGAAGATATAAACAACATTTAAATCATTCACCTGAACTGTAAATCTTATTTATCATTTCACTAATAGATCATGTATAACTTTTCTAAGAATGACTCAAAAAATTTATAGCACAGTGAATACTAACAATTTGCAATGATAAAGAATAAATCTGTTAACAAGTTTAGTTGACTAAAGCAAAAAAGATCACAAAGTCATCAAATTATGGAAGAAGTACTATCGTTTTATATTTCATTAGTATTATTCAGTCAATAGTTTCACAATATTCCATTAATACTTCGGGTACAGAGTTTGTAAAGGCTGTTGAATGTTATAATTTTTACCATGAACTTATCATAATTAAACATTAACCATTGAAGATCTGGAAGGACTGGATACCTGTTTTTTTTTTCCTTATATTTAGACTCCTTCTCTATGTCTATCTACAAATCCCCTCAAAAGGGGATCAAAACACAAGATTTTCAGATTTCACAACGAGTGTTTAGTTTGTAAACCCCTCAGCCAGAATCGATTTGTTTTGATACCTAACTTCCCTTCATTTTATAAAACGTGTTTCACTTTTACCTGGATGGAAATCTTTTTCTTGTTTTTTATATTCCTTATAGACACCATATTATTATTCTTAATATTTTGATGTAATTCAATTACAGTCTGAACAAAAAGTATGTAAAACTACTTGTGTGGAATACACTTTTATGTATGCATGTATGTATGAATGTATGTATGTGTGTAAATACAATGTTGCCTAATTATTCTTCCATGTACTTATCAACACTCACTTATATTATCATAGCTACTAATTGTTTTCCATAGTGAATACCATTCAGACACTTTCAGACTCATTTACTTTTTCTTCTCCCCCTCTCTAAACAGTCAAATATTTTCCCCCATTTACTTCAAGAAATCATGATACACAGATAGGTAGATAGATAGATAGATAGCTATATATGAATGATCAACTATTTTTCTCTTTTATTATTATTATTGTTGCTATGCCATTTTTAATCTTGGTTATTCATGGTTAATTTACTATATATTCAAAACAATAATTCTGCTGTTGGTTCAATGTATCAAATCAGATTCTAAATGTTAATGTATACACATTTCATGATTTGATCGGACAATTTAGTATCAGCTAATTAATCGAGCTGTTCGGATTGTAGTGTTGAAGCCTTTATAGCGTCTGTTTCTCCTATAGGGCGGGATTGCGCTTTATTGCTTGTGCTAAGCCTGGACAGTGTCTGGCTCTCCTATTAAGCGGGATTGAGCTGTACTGTTTGAGTTACCACGTGAAAGTCTGGATAATGTATGGTTCTCCTGAAAACCAGTGCAAGATTACACTGGCCCACAAGGGTATATTATATAACTAAACTAACTGTGAATTAATCGATTTGTTAGTTGTAAGTAACATAGAACTTGGTGAATATATATCCATCGATTGAAGTTGTCACAGTGAAATGAAATTATCAGTAGAATTAATAACAGTATTAGTGGAAATTGAAAATATTAGTCATAAAGAAGATGGTTCAGGAAGAAATAATGAATCTATAGTATAAAAAGTATAGAAGAATTTTGAAACTTGGGATCTGTGAGAAGGTGATGAGTCTAATTATCTACACTATCCAGGCAGATTCTGACCTATATCGATCTTGTATGATCATAAATAACCTCATTCATAACAAACAGTTTAATGCTGAATTGTATTTCCTTAAATCTACATCACGTAACCCTAATCTATAGTGCTTAAAATTAAACCTACGAAAACAGATTTTGTGTGTATATTCAGCTAAGGTATTTATCATATTTTGTAATAACCTAGTTCTTGAAAGATTTCATTACTCCCTAATCAGTTTTTTCATTTCAATTTGATATTAATTATGAGAACTATTGCTAACAGATAACTACTCAATACCATTTTGGGGGTAATTAAACCAATCAACTCAGTGACCTGAAGGTTAAGCTCTTATCATGGAGCGTGAAGCCCTTCGATTAAATCTTTGGCAGGAGATTTTGAAGCAGTAGATAGTCTTTATGAGATGGTGGGGAAGTTTTGTAGCTCAGGCAGGTGATTTAGGTGGAGTTTTGTTCTTTGAGCTACACGATTTGTCTGTGGAGCTTTCATTGTTCTTTTGAACAACATCATCAGTATAAACATGAGGTTTACAATCAGAGAACAAAACCCCACTTAAGCAGTATTTTTGTCTTGGTATAGGACTGCTCAGAAGTGCTCATTCATAACCGCACCGCCGGCGATTACATGTAAATCCTAAACCTCTAGAAAACTAAGCCATAGTTCAATGGTATACAAGTCTAACTTTAGTCAATTTTTAAAATGTATCATTAAGTTATTGGCTGGCATTATTTATTTATTGTTGCATCAACATTGAACAACGGATTAAGCGATTAAAATGGTTTTAGTGATTTGCTCCTATTAACGATTAAAATAGGTTTGAAAGTTATACTTACTGTGGACCAATAATGGCCCTGTGTTCAACACCTTGTGAGGTTTACGTTGTTGTGAAGTTTCTAAGGTTTGTTTATGGAAAGTCTAATACAATGAGTCAGTGGCTAACGCATTTACGCTACTCATCCGAGCAAATGAGATTTATTGTTGTTTCAAAAAATGGACAGAGTCTTACTGAACAGGTTATTTCATGGATCTAGCAACAGCACAGAGAATAAAAGTAAAAGAAGGTAGCATCACGTATTAAACTGGTTATAGACCATTATGGAAACAAATAGTTACTAGATCATTTACGCGTTATAGTGTACAATTTGAGTTTACACATTTAGACACATCAAAATTTGATGCAAAAATTTACAAATAAAATTAACATTAACATCTATAATGCACAATCAAGTTGATTTTCTGATGTTCCCTAATGATTTATTATCATTCATCACTATATCATTGTGTCGCTCTTTTGATGCTCGCATTTAATGATGCGCATTCTAATGAATTGTGTCCATTTACACTTAGTATTTCTGACGTGCTCTTATTGGACAATACCACTTACTGGACTAAACTAGTAAAAAATACTTGCTCGATTTCGTGGATTGGTTGAAGTTATACATTAACACCGTCGGATGCCGGCCGGCTCAGTGGTCTATTGGTTAAGTGCTCTGGTGCAAGACTGGTAGGTCCTGGGTTGGAATCCCGAGAGACTGGATCGGGGATGCTCACTGCTCAGGAGTCCCACAATAGGACGAAATGTCTGTCCAATGCTTCCATGTTTTTCGTGGTGGTCTAGCTTCAATTGACTCATGATCTCAACTATATAAAATTACTAAAATCTCCAGAAAACCCCTTTTGATGCTTATATAATCCCAATAATTCTCCAAACGATATTAGTTCATGAACTTGATTGCTAGTGGTCTTGGTAATATCATCTTGTTTTATTAATGTAATATGGTAACTTTTGACCAACGAACATTTCCATAAAGCTCTATATTGATGATGATTAACTAGCTGAGTCCATGATGAATACTAAACATTTACATAGCTTAATCAATTTTGTAATTTGTCCTTGTTATTGATACTATATGTGGTTCACCACTACTTACATTCCTTTGTATTCTTACCTCATTATTTATTTATAATTTTTCAATCATATTTCATTCAGCATATGGATGAAGCAGTACCGGTGTTTTTCGTAGCTAATAAAATTGATATGATAAAAGATAAAAAAGTCTCAACAGAACAAGGTCAACAAGTAAGTGTATTACAAATTGTGATAAATGTCATGTTATTAATATTCTTATTATCCTTCAGTATTAATGTTGTATCAAAGTTTCAACTGTACAATCGAGTGATGTGTAAATCCATCGAAGAAAAGAATGCAATATTATACACAAAAACAGTACTTTTATTACGGAAATATATGAATTATGCCAAAACCCTAACGACGAGACTATTAGTGATGAATGACCTTCGAACGAATCTTAAGTGTCCTTGATAAATTTCAGCCAATCAAAAAACAATCGTATAGAACAAGAATATATAATACAAAACCAAAACGTTGTAGTGCATACACTTCTTTGACATGGTTTAAAAAATTTTCAAGGTTAGAAAAAGACTCTGTAGTTCTGAAGTCCTACTGCATAGAATACAGGAACTAATCCATGTGACTCCATAATAGTCGATCTATGGAGGGATGATAAGGTTTTTAAAATTCATTTAGCCTCGACCACAATGTTTCTATATTATGTGTGTACTTGGGTGGTTGGGTCTACAAAATTATGCTTGTGAATGACGATACGATGCACGTAACCAGGTCTATATGGGTTTCGATATGCTCTCCAGTCATGCGTGTATATTGTGGTTCTCGGCTACACATACTCTCGTAGAATTGGTATTATAGTTGTAGCTTGCCACTTTCCAATGTGCTGGAAGTGTCCTTTTCAAGATGACCTATAATATATACCAAGGATCTGCCAAGTATATTTTAGGAAGTGATACTTAACCAATGTTCTTTAACACTTCTTCGTCTGTTAAATTCGCGTTTTCTAACGACTGTTTCATTGATTTCTACAGTTTATCTGATTTTCCCAAAGGACTGATGCAAGCCTGCCATTTTTGTTGAACATACAACTCAACAACACTCATACCACTGAACTGCCGAAGCTTCGGTGGTATCGTCAAAGGTTGCAGCCAGTGTTGTTGGTGCTGTTATTATCCACTTTGCAACAATTATCACTATCTGTTTGACTGTCAATCGGAATTGAGTGATAAGTCTCCTCTCTGGAAGTTGTTTTCCTCCAGTACATATTACATCGAAATACATCATCGTCACGATGATTTGCACAATGTCCAATAGTCATTGGAACACCACAATCACAAATAAAGGGACTTCTCAGTAATCTCATCAGTTGTAGCTACTCAACCATAACGTCCTTGTCGAATTTCGCTGTAAACTAATCGTATATGAGCGTTGGGTAATGAAATAGGCTACGTGACTTTGAAATCCCTCACTCTAAGTTCATTATCATGTAATGACTGGTAGCCATAGGCTCAGAAAATTGTCAGAATGGAAACTAGTTACTAAATATATAAGAACTCTCGTCTAAATTAGAACGAATAGTTTCACAGTATTTGAGCGCCGAGTTGATGTAAGACATTAAATAGGAATAATATATTTGTAAAATTTCAGCGAATGAATTCATAAAATAAATTCATTCGCTGAGATTTTACAAATATATTATTCCTATTTAATGTCTAGTTACTAAATGTTGGTAAGTAGCATAAATGATTACACTAAAGGAACTGAGCAAGTTGAGGGCAAAAACTTTTTAAATCAACTTAATAATGTGTATGTTGGATATATTAGAATAGAAAGATCCAGTAAATGGGGGAATATCGTCAATACTTAGAGACAAATTTACTTGACGCAAAGGATGAAAGTAATCTATGCTCAAATGATCATCAGTTTTAGAAGGGGCATTAGAAACAATAGAGACTTTTATGATAAATGGATTTACTGTTTAGAGGATAACAATTAACACTATTTATTGATTTGGTCACCATTACCAGTCAGTATTTGTAATATATTGCCCAATCATATTAATCGTTACACGTTCACCATGCCATTGACTGACTAAATCTAACTATTTCAAGCTTTTAGCTAGGTGTTTTCAATTCTTCTGATCTACTATTTATCTTATTTGATAACAGTGTTTGAAAATCAACTTACAACTAAGAAATACATGTTGTTGACCACTTATAGAAGTCGTTAACAACGTATCTTGTTATGTAGAACTAGTGATTGATATAAATGTTGAGTTCTTGGTACATTAATTCAGTGGTAATAATCCATTACTGATCATGAATTTCGACTATGTTTCATAGGTTTAGGGCTTCAGTGAATGAAGGTAGATTATAAAATCATGGTAATTTTCTGATTAGTATCATTACTGTGTACTTTAAGAGAACCAGTCTGATCGTAAATCTCATATAATCAGAGAAATCATTTAAATTAAAGTTAGGAAATGTTGTAGTGCAATGCTTCGCTAATCTTTCACCTCGTAAACCGTTGTAATACAAATCTCAACGGTGCATGAAATCAAAAGACGAAGAGAGGCTGCAACTACAGTTTATTATTGAGTGACGCAGGCCACAAAGCTACAAGCACATGAGTAAGTATCAGCGAGCGAAGCAAAAATAACGCACATTGGAGATGGCGGATAAGTCAACACTTTTTTTTAATCAAGCGTTAATCAATATTTATCGTCAGATAAAAATAAGTTATAGGCATGTGATGAATAAGGTAAAAAGTGTACACACTCATATGCTCATATAAAAAATAGTCAAGGTTAATAAGTGAGTAATTAACAAAGTGGAAATGTTACTCATGATGGGTAGGTAAATTGGCCTGTTCTGAAGCTATAATAAGGTATATGGGTTTAACATATTAACCGACACTACAATAATAAGGAATTTGTTGCATTATGAAGTGTTCATTTTCGGTACTGATACTCAAGCTTCCTATACGCAAATCCAACAAGGTGCTTGAATGAAAAAGCTGAGAAGGCGTCACTTAACATCATAGTGTGAGATATTTATAAATGTCTACCTTTGAAGACGATTGAGTATTTAAATTCGGCTTTATTTATGTTAATTTTTATCAAAAATATTCAGTTTAATTTACTACTTGACATTATTATGTTTGTTCGACCCCACTTCTCTTCTCTCTCTCTCTCTATCTTCAGTTAACATCTCAACAAGCAGCTCATGGATTCTTTGAAACAAGTGCAAAAACCGGTAAGAATATACAAAATTTATTTCAAGCAGTTGCTGAATGCATGGTGTCTACATGGGGTGCTCCAAAAGTTAGTCTCATTTTCCGTTTCTGTTGAAATACGAACCAAAAATAATTTGATTCATATTTTTTCAGGTTTTTATTCTTTTTTTTATCTACTAATCTAAATAAATACGAATTTTGACATGATACTTTTAGTCCAGTGGAGATGATTTCAGTAAAGTTGCATTCACTGTATTCGATGATTAAATTGTGCAGCTTCATTGTCTTTTCGATAATATCATCAATACAAAGTTTAGGTAGAAGTGATCTATTTGAATTTCACCTCATATGACTAACATTTTATTGTCAATCTTGAATTAGATCGGTTATTATTGTTGATACTTGTCTTGTCATTGTTCGCATATTTATTTTGATCGTTTAAAGATCCCCATTGTCTTTCGCTATAACACGATAATTGACCTTATAGTTGTTTAGAATTGATACGATACATGGAAATCAGTCGTAACACTCAGATCTTAATTGATTATAGTGAGCGTGACCTACAAACCGGTTACCTCCAATCCCCTACAAAATGTGAGTGTGCTCATATTTTGTGAATATTTTGTAAATAAGTTTATCACCTTATTAAATAACATAAATCTATTCCTCCGATCAGTGTTTTTGTAAAATCAGTTAGAGGCTAAAATCAATAATTCGGTCTCGAGAGCAGCCATCATTCAGTCATGTCGTATCATCGAATACTATTGATCGTTCAGAATTATTTTATTTAATTTTAACAATCATAAACTAGTTCATAAAACCCTAAAAAAAAGGTAATTCACAAAAGTGGTCACGACTAAAGGTGTAGTTCACCAATTATGATAAGCTCAGGTTTCAGAGATAGTGCTTGGTATGGTTTCGGATGGATTTCATTGACATTTACATGTAAATTGAGTTAAAGTGTTATCATGTTGATGGTTAATGAATCTTTGATGCTTATTATTCACATCGTTCAGTGTCATATTTAGATCTTTCATCTAGACGGCTCAGTAGCCGTTGATAATTTCATGTTAGAACTACACATTTTTAATTATTGTAAGGATGGCTCGTTGGCAAACTCAAGGAAGCCTCAAGAAGCCCAGATGGAGCCGAATATATTTCATCCAATCACCACTAGGGCAACATTCTAGAACGTCGATGTGTAGCTTACCTGTTGGATGAATAAGAAGGACCCCCTATGTGCCTATTGGCTGTCCGAAATAATGATTTACTTTCAGCCAAAAAAATATAAATACATGAGATTTTTATACTATATTTGACACTGTTTGAGGAATAAAATCCCTACTTACTAGTCTTGTATCTTTTCTCTTGCGAAGTTGCGGGTTCGATCGTTCAAGTAGTCTAGTAGTACGTGGCATAGCAAGAATCAAATCTCTAGATATGACAGTTATGTCACATCAAGAAAACAATATCTTCACATTTCCCTATTTAGATTATACCGGTAAACATAAACTGACAAATTGACTTAGATATAATGTGCATTACATAATGAATACTAATATGTACGATTGAAAGCAAAAATATTTATACTATGAAAGTTTAGAACCAGATATATGAAACATGATGATGATGATGATGATGATGATGATGATGATCAGGCGAAAACATAGTAATAGCAGAGATGGATGGTGGCTATCAGTGGAATTCAGGACGAACGTCTCGTCCTATTTGGGACTCGTCAGCTGGATATATCCTCATCCGAGATGATGTTCAAAAGCTTAGTAGCTAAGTGGGTAACGCGATGACTTTTGAGGCGGGCATTATTGGCTTCAAGTATCCAAGTGAACATCAACTCTGGAATTTAGATACATCCAGATGAAGAGTTCCAATTAGAACGAAACGCGTGTCCTGAATTCCACTGCTAGCCGCCATCTGTCTTTACCCATAATGATTGTGGCCTAATGGCAATATCTAGGCAACCCGCACAGGATGTACACATCCCCCCACATGTGGTACTATTGTGTGTAAAATTCAGTACATAAGTGGTTTTATTGTGGTTTAAGGTTGATGTGATTTCGGATATGATTTTGGGACTTATTAAGAAATGTGTCTTTGGGGAGTCAATAAATCTTCATTGTAGTAATCGTTCGTGTTATCGTATTGGATCATTGTAACTGTAGTGGTTCTCGTTTCTTAGTATAAGCAGTCCGACGGGCGAGTTGTAGTGATTCCCGATTGTCAAGTCAATGCAGTGAAACCGCCAACTCAACAGAGTCTATACGTACCTAACAGATCATACTAGTGAGATATAAAAACTGATTATCCAGTTACAACAGTGACGATGGAGTCATTTTTTTCAGTCATGATATCTGCATTGTCAAGTATCGTAGCGAAGGTGTAACCCACAAATCATTCAATCAGTATCCAACAGTTTATATGATTAACACTTCAATTGAATCTTGATATTATACAAACATCCTTTAATATTTTTGATGGGTAATTAAATGGATCAAAAGCAACATAGTTGAACTCCACTAGTCACAGCTTCTCACTAGACGACTGAGAACTATTTTGCGAAATTGGTTATTGTGAGTACATGTTATTATGTATTATTATAAAAAAGTTTTGTTGAATTCCGAATCTTTCTATTGTATTGGTATAGTTTATATATTTTTTTCACAATTTTTTTGGAATTCCAGCGTTGGTATGAAATAAATACTGAAGGCAATAATCAATTAGATCCATGGTCCAATTCGGTGAGTTTCGTTTTCGCTTATTTAAATAGGTACTACTATTGGGACTATTATTATTATTATCATTATATAAAATCGAATTTTTGATAGGTGGCAGCTAAAAATGGCCGGTAAGAGTAGAGGATATTCGTAGGCTATTAGTATTCGATCACAGGTGTCTTCTAAGCATTGCTCGTATATCCTGGGACCATCGAGTAAATGATGTAGTTGTTAGGAAACGGTACTAGGTAAGGATGGCAAATCGATTGATGAAGTAGTGAAACATCATCAGTTGAGATGACTGGGACACGTGTTAAGTATTCCGAACCACCGACTGCCCCGACGTGCAATGTTTTATGGCGTAAGAGTAGGTTGAAAGAATTCAAGGGGCGGCCAGACTAAAACATGGCACAAATTCATGAAGTCACTGACAATTGGACTGATCCATGTTGGTAGGTGTTGACTACCTGGTTGGGATCCGCGAGATGATAGCAAACGATGGTTAGAGACCTTGAATGACATGGCTCGAAATCGTTTGTAATGGTGAAGGTGCGTCCACTCTTTGTGTTCAGCCAAATTCTAATCTTCTGAATTCTTCATGTCCCTATCTTTCTTCTCTTTCCGAATTTATTTCACTGTATTATACTCCTTCAATAACATCTTCAAACCCTAGTCTTTCCGACTACTGCTTATACCCTTATTACTTCTACCACTATGGGATTTGAGTCGACAACTGTATCTCCGTGTTAATGTGGTATGGCAACTCAAACTGATGTACGTTCGTCGAATTTCTACGTTGTGACTGACTGCCTGATTGAAGGCTAGAAGGAACCCCTGGATTTAGATTAAGTGTAAATCGACACTCTCTGGCAAAGTGTACCTTCAATCTTTAGAGAACTGTTGGTTCTTGTGATATTCGAACTTGGATTATTCAGTTTCATGTTATAGGATGTTATTATTCAACTATTCGAGTCACAAGAGAGTTTTTTCGGGTCTAGTTGATTAATCAATATCTGAATAAAATTTTTCACATAAGAAATGAATATAAGGTTGATATACATATACATATATATTCTCAGAAAAATCCTATTGAACAATTTGACAAAATGAAGCAAAACTGATGTTATAATGCTTCAGTTTTATAACAGTTCAAGTACTTCAACCTCTGTCACTTCGAAATTCTACGCTTCTACCATCTACGTTATCATACTCCCCAGTTATCTTGTCATATCACTTTTAATAATATCAAATGCACAGATAACTCTCCCAAAATGACCTCATTGTCAGTTATCTGAATGGTAAATAAACGATTGACAACAGCAAAATACGGCATATATTAGATGTTTTAGTCAATATAGTTGATCGATGATCTTCGTGGAACTTGCACCACCTCTGAAGTCTTCCTAACCCTCACTGGAACCATTCATTGACTTAATGATGTGTGGGCGAGAATGATAATGATTGGTTGTTTTGCTGAGTCAGACATTAGATAGGATGACAGGCGTTATATGTGTTATATATATTCCCCTATCCCTATTATGTATTGACTGTTTTGATTGAATGTTCCTTGTTGTTGGATTTTGTCGGATTTTGGTGTGTGTGATGTTTTAGTAAGGCTAATCTCGTGTTCTTGATCTGAGTTGTGTTGAAGTCCTGTAGAATAGACACTGGGTGGGAATCTAGTGTAGATATTCGTCTAACGTAAATTAACGTCCCACATACGTTTAAAAAGTGAAAGGACTATTATAACAAGAAACCCTAGCGTTATAACAAGCGTCCTACAGTTTACAACACTTAAAGATAGCTGTTTATTCACCAATTTATCTCTCTTAGCAGCCTATTGGACTTCTTAATTTTTCTGAGAGACTTTTTCAATTGTCACGAAGAACTGATATCCATTTAGGTATGAACTGCCATTACCAAGATAAATATTCAAGGTTAATAAATATAATTTTCCACTTTTTATGTTCTAACAATTCGTTTTCTGAATTTTCTTTGAAAAACTTACAGTATAATCATCGTTACAAGGATACAGTTCAATTAGATCAGAAAAAAGCTCACAATAAATTACAATGTTGTTTGACACATTAACTAATACGTATCATTTGAACAGTAATATGATCTTATTATTAACTACTAAAATTGTACTACTTAAGATTGTATTAAGTAGTTGAATTTGTATCACCTCAAATCTTCAGCATCGTTTCATGTTAAACCTACTCACCAAGATAAATTATTTATACATCCTTCAAATAATAATGTGTAAATAAAACATTTTCAATAATACAGATAACATATTATGCTTATTTACATTCATTTAAACTTATCATTCTTTGAAGCATTAACACAAAAATATGGCACATTATATAAACAGAAGCACCCATTCGTTTTTCACTACCTACTGACAAGATACATCAATCATTTCATAATAACATTTGAACTACCCTGAAATGAGGCGAAGTAAAGATGTTTCTCCACAGTTTAAGTAAACAAAACATTACACTCAAATCTTTTTTCTTTATTGTACAGTTTTTCATTCATTTCATTAATATTCATATACGTATGTGGTGTCATGTTAAAGAAAACGCGGCTGCAATACAATATATATCAAGATCACTAATTATTCATTATAGAGCTCACTTTGATGCCTTCAGTCATTATTATTACTTTTTTTTTCTTTTGTTTCATCAATCTACTTAAGAATGTTATCAGTTACTTTTTGAAGTTATTTCTTCTTCATTTTTTTTTCAATTTGCATGTTGGTTCGTTTGTTTGTTTCTTTATCCAGTAATATACCCTAATCCTTATATTAATATATAGACAAATAAAGAAATTTTTTGAAAGTAATTACAGAATGTGATAAAGTCTGTAAAGGCATGATTAGGTTGATCCAAATGGAAATGTAATAAGTTTAAGGTACACCAGTTGAAAGATGGGATTTTCATGAATTGTTTCTATAGTACATTTGTCGCGACGATTGTAATGATAAGAAGCGGTAGTTGGGGACAGGCAGTTTTTAAATGGGCAAACTATGGGCCATTGTTAAGGATGAATAATATAGCGAAGGGCTATTTCAGTGTTGTTACAGGATACTTTAAATCACCAGTATAGGGTTGTGTAGGTTGTGAAAATTTCATTGAAATCCTTGACCGATCAATGTTAGACCATCATTAGAAAGCTCAAAGCACTGGGCGACCGTTTCATCTTAGCATGAGACTTTACACTAGCGCGCATTCACAACCACGTATGTTGAAGTCGAACCCAGGACTTTCGGTCTTGTACAAGAACGCTTAATTTCTAAACCACTAAGCCAGCACGTAACGGTGTTAGCATCCAACTGCAATCGATTCACGACAATGCGCAGTCATCCTACAATCATCTACAACTATGAAGAAGAAAGCGAATGAACAGAAATGTCATGGAAAAATAAAAATTGGCTATTGAATCGTTTTCACGATTCTAACCTAAATTTTTTAGTTACATAATTTATCTCAAAAATTGATTTATTTGAAAACACTACACTAAATAGATTTCTAAATACGTAACACCAGTCCAAGTCGTCCCAGCTGATAAACACCAACCACCTCATCAACCGATTCACAGTTTTTACCTAGTACCCTAAATCTAACGTCAACATTGCTCACTCAGTAATCTCGAAATAAAAGATCACTGTTTCGGAGACACCCTTTTAACTGAGTAACCTGAGAATATTATTTATTCCTATTGGTAGTCGTTAACATACATAAAGTTGAACAGAGTGAACTGCTGTTCAATGAACTCGTTTTTTGTTGATAGACGGATGTCTCGCTTACACCGCAAGTGACGCGAGTTAATAAAAGCCAACTAAGTTTAATGGATTTCTTTCAAAGTTTCGTCATACGCCAACTCATCACTGTTGACGAGACATACAAAATAAGTGAAGGAATAAATGAGCTCGACTTTTTCATTTGATATATTTAGTTTAACCATTTGGACAGACTAATCACGAATAAACATTTTTTATGAGTGGGAGAAATGAATCTCAAACTTGCTAGTATTGTCGTTTAAGATGATCAGAAGTTTCCATTTTGTCAGCGCTTTCACCAAACAGAACTATTCCATCTGAGTGTTCGAAGTTAAGAAGTTAATCTCCTAGTAGCAGTTTAATATCTAGAACTTTGGATGGTGAGAGGTTCATCTCTAAAAGGGTGTTTTTGAAGTCAAATATAAGGCGAGAAAGTGAACAACCCGAACGAATACTGATCTAGTTTGATAACTCTGATGACGGTTTGCTATAAGCACTAAAATGACCAGCAGTGTTCAAGTAGCGTCTTTATAAGGTTGATATAATTCTCTTTTACGCCTTTTAATGGCAGACACTGCCACAGAACCTTTTGACCTACAGAGTCAAGTGCTGCCCTAAAGTCAAGGAGCACAACCAAAGCTGGAGGTCGGAGAGTATATCCATGTTTTAGGGCCTAATGAAAAGTGAATATTCGGTCTATACATTCGCATCTAGGTCTAAAACTAGCCTGTTTTTTCCTGATTCGCTGTCCGCCGATTCTATTTATCAGTCAGTTCATTGTTAAACCAAACATTTTAAACACTATTAATTGACTCTATTCGTCTGTCGTTATCATAAGAGAATTTTTGTTCCTTTCTGTAAACTGGAAGGACCAGTGATCGAAACCAATTAATTGAGATTACGTTCAGTCCACAGATTGTAGTCAATATCTAAGTCAAATTAACTGTCAAAACTGGAACACTATCACTATAATCTTAAGATTTGGTGCTACCTCTCAGCTTAGATTAACCATAATCTTTTCAAACTCAATAAGAATTGAGGGGCCTTCACCAACTTCCCATTCATGCTGTCTGGAGATAGTTTCTAGTATCCAACAAGTAACAGTCAGTAGTTGTGTCAAATTCAATAATAATAAACAATAAATTAAAGCTGGGACTGTGCACCCTACAACTATAGACTGCACTAGACTAATATGCTCACAGAAGACAATTGTAGATATCTTCAGACACTTTTACTGAAGTCACAAGTGGAATTACCAAACAATATTTAGGATCCTACTGCTAAATAAACCTAACAATAGACGAAAGTACTAAATACAACACATTTATTAAATGCTCTTGTGTCGAACTAGTTATCTTTTTACATTCTCGTTTTAAGAACCAAGCCGGATGGTGTTCTGAGATGCGTACCATTCTGGGATGTGTTAAGGAAAAACTTTTGCTTTGGGCCACATCAATGTGTATCTATAAATTTACTTTCTCATGTGGGGCATGTTACATAGACCGCACAAAGCGATCACTTTCAAAACTCATCTCGGAACACTATCTGGCTTAGCTCTTAAAAAGGGAATGTAAAAAGATAACTAGTTCGATAAGAGAGCATTTAATACACTTATTGAATATTGAAAACGTAACGGCTAACCTTATCCTCAAATCATAATCATTATTTCCCACTTTAATGGTGTACCAAGTTCATTGGAACATTAAAAAGAGAAGCCAAAAAATGAAAACAAGTAAATAAAAAAACAGATACACGTTTAGTAAAGATGGATAGTGGCTGCCAGTGAAATCCAGGACGCGCGTCACTTCGTCCTATTTGGGAATCGTCAGATGGATGTACCTACATCTCACAGCTGATGTTCACTCTGGGACTCGAACCCAGTACCTTTCGCTTCAAATGCCATCGCATTATCGACTCGACCATTGAGTTCTGATAGCCCACTGCTAGCCACTATCCATCTTTGCTTAAAATGCTTGTGAATTAAGACTATATCGAGGCAATACGTACAGTATGCACATATGGACAATAAGGGACTGACCAGTTGCAGTCCTGACACATTGATGGGAAGATTCAAACAAACAATACTCAATGAAGATGCACGTTTATATCCAAAAAAAATATTTTATTTCAAATAAAATAACATAACAATATAAAGCAATAAAAAGATTACTTCTTTGGTGTTATGTGAATTTTCTTCTCTTTCCCCTTTTTTCTGTGAAAAAAAAACGGAACAGTGTTTGATTTTGTTTCCTTGACAACTTTTTTTCTATCTCTTTCTCCACCCTCTTTTATGAATGTTTAATGATCAATGTGCATATGATATATATATTCATTAAAAAAATAAATAAATCGTTAACAAAATAAACCAGTGACAAATATTCCCATTACTATAAGAAAATACATTTTTTTTACCCTTTTTTTTAAAATTAATTTATGTATGTATGTATGTATGTATGTATGTATGCATGTATAATCAGAGAGGAAAAGACATACAAAGTAAATGATTTAAAAAGGGAGAGAAAGAGAGAGCGAGAGCGAGAGCGAGAGGGGGGATGAATTGAGAGTGATTCAAATGATTATATAGAATAGAACAAATGATATTATTGTTTATGGTGTTAATGATATTAAGATAACACCGGGGTGAATTTGAAACAATACATAAATAATGAATACCATTCAAATAGGACATATTATGATAGTTACCATAATAAAGATATGATAGACATTTGGATTGGTGTATTACATTCAGTCTAATATTCTGGATTGAATCTGTTCTTTCATTCTTGCTGTGAAAGTCCTTTCTTCAGAAAAGAAAAAGAAACATTCCATTGTTATCATTTGGTTTGACTTAAAAACTTAAAAAATAATAAATGCAATGGATACTAACTAAATAGATTATAAATAAACACTTTAACATTCGTTAGATCTTATTCTATTGATGATTGACTAGAATCAAATGAATAGATATCAACATATTGGTTTAATATTCATCTATCATACAAATAGGGATTTGATTAGATGAATTTGAATTTAATATAACTGAACTAGACATTAATGGATCAAATGTTGATGGTAAATATTTTGGATAATTTTGACGACATTCTGTTGGTACTTTAGGATAACAACCATTTGATATAATATTACATGTATCTAATAATTGACGTACAAATAATTGTTTATATTTACCATTAATATCATTATTATTTGATACATATATTAATATTAAATAAAATCTTGGATAATCATTACGATGATATGCTGGTATAGTTAATTCAAGTGAATGCATTCCATATGTTGTTTGACAATAAATTGGTTTAATAGTTTGTTTAATTTGTTTAGATAATGTATGCTTTGGAAATTCACAATAGTTAGTCTGAAAAAAGAATATATATAGATGAAATGGAAAAATAAAATAAGTAAATGATCTAATTTGAACATAGGATGTATTCATTATATTCAATTAGTATTGTTTGTTTGAATCTTCCCATCGATGTGTCAGGACTGCAACTGGTCAGTCTCTAATTGGCATATGTGCATACTGGGCATATTGCCTCGATATTGCCTTAATTCACAAGCATGGTAAGGAAAGATGGATAGTGGCTACTAGTGCGCTATCAGGACTCAATGGTCGAGTCGATAACACGATGGCATTTGAAGCGAAAGGTACTGGGTTCGAGCCCCGGATTGAACATCAGCTGTGAGATGCAGGTACATCCATCTGGCGAGTCCCAAATAGGACGAAACGCGCTTCCTGGATTCCACTGCTAGCCACTATCCATCTTTGTATTCATTACAGATTGATCTCAGTTGTGTTACCATTGCAAACTAGGGAGTACTGAATAACTGTCTCATCGTAATAGGTGACTTCTCATTAGTATGCATTAAGTGGTTAGAATTGTAAATCGTTCGTCCCTAGACCTGAAGTTTCTTTAATCGATTCCCATTTAAGGGGTTTCTTAGGTACTCCTTGATTAAGATTCCTGATGATTTTATATCCAATTTGATTATATGCTTGGCAGTAATTAAAATTGGAATTCAAGGAGGACTTTTCTCGAGGAATTTATGAGTCTCAGTGTAAATATCTATAGCAATACAAGTATATTAAGCTAATGAATCACATATTGGGAGAAAGTTCACTTTCGATTACACTGTTATCCACTACTTAAATTTATAATTAACTGTTGAAAAGCAGTAATGACAAAAATGCACAAACAGAATGAAGACATCGTTCAGATGTGAATACAAGTATACCTTGTAGAAGTATATCAAAATTTATGAAACTTTTATCAAATCCGGGTTATTTTTTTATCAATTTTGTACATTTATGTAACAACCAAAACACTTAAACGTTATATTAGTTAACCTGACTTGTTGTTAACACTTTATATTGCAAAGTAAACACAAACGATGTTTGTGATTTTTGACTACTGCATTGTATTTTGTTGCAGTTACATATAGTTGAACACTTTTGAGTATCCCAAAATATTGACAAAATCCAATGTTTATTAAGGAGTCAAGCTCAAAACCTTATAACCACTCAGAAAATTGTAGTCGCACAATGTAATAGATTGATTGAAATTAAAAATATGAACTGATGAATACAAACTCAACGGTCTAGTGTAAACGATAAGTTTAATTTTCGGTGAGACTATAATTTACGGACAAACCAATCAGATATAAGATAACAGTTCTCGGATTTCGGGACAACATCGACTCATCCATTTAGCTAAATAGAGTTTTATCATTATAGCTGATGTCAGTTCATGGTGAAAAACCTAAATCTAATTCCTAACCCTAGATATCAACTGTAAATCATAATTTTATCTATTCACACTAGTTCTTAACTCGTATTTGGTCCTGATTAGCAAGTGGGTACTCTCAAGGTCACTCTAGCGTCTCTATTAAACTGAGTCATAGAAACTCAACTGAGCCAATGAAATAGCTCGAATATATTTTTGTGTTAATTTTATTCAACCAATTAAAATCTAGCAATCTCTAAATAACCAATCACAATTATTTGACAAATCAACCAATAGAAATTCAAATTTATTATTTTATTCTTACCATATTATTATTTAAATAATCTAATAATAAATTTCTATTATTCATTGTATCATCATTCAATACAGGTAAAGTATAGATCCAATAATTTTGTGGATTAACATGTACTTTTAAACTTATATACACTTGATGTGATGTACATTCAACACCAATTTGAAAACCATTCTTATATGGAATATTTCTTAATTGACGTTTTAAAAAAACATTTGGAATGTGATAAAATTGTTGATTATTGAATGTAATTGGAGTTATTGTTTTAATTAAATAATTAATAATTTTTTGTTTAGATTTAAATTTATTCATAAAATATAATGAATAATAATAATTAGAACGTTTTAAACGATGATTAGTATAACGATAATGTCTTAAATTATGTTGTAAAAATGGTGATGGAATTTGAAAAATAGTTTGATTACTTGATGGTTGAACAGTAATTGTGGAAATATCAGTTGGAAAATCTATGAATAAAATTGAAAGTAATTAAATATATAAATATGGAATAATATTAAAATTCATGTAGTCAATCAGTTACAACGTAGGACAAGGCATATATATGCATCGGTCCAAGGTACAACAAGATGAACACCAAATTCATAAAAGTAGTTAATTTAATTGTGGTATAGTACAGGAAGAAACACAGATGTGAAGCAATTTTAATCTCACGGTTTAAGGGCAGACAAAAAATGCATACACCTACGTCATTGTGATCGATTCTGAGCCATGTCACACAGAGTCTCCAACCATTGGTTACGATAGTCACGTGGACCCCAATCAATTAGTCTGCATCTACCAACTTGGCTCAGATTGGAAGTTAGTGACTAAAAGCACTGATACTACGTTTTGTTTTGGTCACCCCTATCTCTCTTCCAACCAACCCCAACACTAGTCAACATTGCGCGCCGTGATAATATGTGTTCAAGCAAACGTAACATGTGGCCCAACCATCTCAGTCGATGAAGATTCATCACCTCATCAACTGATTTATCATCATTCCCTACTACCCTCAGTCTAACCTCACTAATAGTTACCCGGTGATCCCAGCAGATGCGAGCAATATTTCTAAGACATCTGTGATCAAATACTGGTAATTTACGAGTATCTTCTACTATTAATAGCCATGTTTCACAGCCGTAAAATAGAACAGAGCGAACTGCTGTGCAGTATACTCGTCCCTTAATTGATTGATGGATATCTTACAAAAAGTTGAACTCATGAAAATTCATGTCAATTCCAATGAAATCTTAATACATTTCTTACATGAAGAGATAGCCTTCGATGATAATAAAATAATAATAATATATTTGTAATATTCTAACCGGTAGAAAATTAAGTTTCAGAAGTTTTATTACTTAGTATAAGTTGATTTTCCAGTAAATAGTTCTCTTTCTGTACTTCTTGATATCTTAACATGATCAGTGAAAACTTCAAACTGCTTAACACATCTCCACCAGGATCAGTCCAAACTTGGGATCTAATAATACCTATAAATACTCATGGTTTTTCTTGATTATTTTTTTTATAATAAAATATCTTGAGGATTATAACCATAATAAAAAAGAAAGGAGATGAATAGAGGCTTATTAACAATGAATACATTGAAAATTCCACTAGTTTTCTTCTATGCAACAGTTTAACACTGTTAAATTTTATATGGTCAACGTATATCACTGAATTGATGACTTTCTAACACTATTATTTAAGTAATTCTATACGAATTTTAAAGTTAACATCATAAACTGGCTTTAATTAGACAACCATTAGAACACAAGAAGCCATTAGTTTGGAATTTCATTCTAGGATGGAGCTCTTTATTCAGGTTTTCGGTCTTTATCAATCTATACTCAGTTCATGATATTAAACACAGAACTCAACAGTTTTCGCAAATTCTCATATTCACTCCAAATGCTGACAATAATAATGAATTGTTAATATAATTATTGTATTGAAACTCTGTAGAGATTGTAAGATTTTACAGTTGTTCAGGAGTCTTAATACTAGATGGAAATGGCTTCCCAATACTTCATTATACTCAATGGTCACTGTTTTTAACTGTATTTATAAACAGTTGTCTATGAAAAATACTCAACATTCACTGACCGGATACTATCAGCAACAGTGTTTTATGGGAGATGATAAACCAGATTCCAGTTGAAGAGGAAATTGGGAAAAGATGTTGGAAGTGGATAGGACATACATTAAGGAAATCACCAATGTGCATTACAAGGCAATCCCTAACTTGGAATCCGGAAGGGAATTGGAAAAGAGGAAGGCCAAATAACACATTTCTCAGTGAAATAGAAGCAGATACGAAAAGGATGAATGTTAACTGGAAAGAACTGCAAAGAATTTTCCAGAACAGGGTTAGATGGGGAATGCTGGTTAGCGGCCTATGCTCCTCTACGAGGGGTAACAGGCGTAAGTAGGTAAGTAAGTAAGTAAGTTCTGTAACTGTAAAATGAATCCTTTTTTTTCTGTAAATTCATGTAAAAGCTCAAAATTACTGAGTAACCATCCAGCTCAGAGAACAAAACTCCATCAAAATACTGAGTGACGTTTACTACCAAAAAAGGTAATAATTAGAAATATACATTTTTAGTATTTTAAAAAGGAAAAAAAATAACTGATTCACCAGAATAATCATACATGTATATTTTGGTTTCTGAGGTAGTAAGTTGGTTGTATTAATTCCCAAGAAAAAATATCTACCCACTGGTTGTCTATTTTTAAAATTAGGATTGCCATTTAATTGTAAGTAATAAATTCCATTGCCCGAATCTAAACACATACGTAATACACGATGACTGTTAATTGGATATTTGCATAATGATTGTAAATTTGATGTTGTCATGTTAGAATTCCTGTAAAAATTATAACAAAAATAGAAAACAACAACATTATAATGAATAATATATACATGTCTGATTGATGATATTGATCACCTGTTTGGCAATCTCAGTGCCTTTCTACTACTCTTATTATTATTATTACTGCGGTGTATACTACTTATGTCGATAGATATAAGTAGTATGTAGCACCAATCTGAAGAAGAAAGCCTGAGAACAGAAGGTTGAGAAGACTGAAATAAAAAGGAGAGAGAAAGAAACTGAAAATAATCAGTATAACAACACGAATGAAGGAACAATAAAGCTTATAGGAGACAATTCAAAGAAGATTTTCAAAAGATGTATTTAATGTATGATTTTCGTACTTTATGAAAGCACACTGCGATTTTCCATCAAAGTGAATTTGTTTCCTCCACCAATACCTCGTTCACTGCACTACCATTACTATCACTACGACTACTACTACATTGGTAGTGTAGGCCAACAATTAGTCAATTAGCCCTTCGAAACAGATTTTATTGTAGTTATTTACAAGCAATTGATCGAACTAAGTGTTATATTGGTTTACAAGAGATAAACAATTTTCGATTTTCAATTTAGTCAGCGTGTTTTATTTTCCCTGAATAACAACAAATGTACCAACGTAGTAGTAGTAGTAGTAGTAGTAGTGTAATGAACAGAACACCAATGGTTGGGGACAATCGAATGCATTTAAGCAAAGATTACAGACTATCTCAGTAAATTCTGATAACCAAACAATGAAGAGTCAATTTGCAAATTAACAACCAATTGTTTCAAACTTCACTGTTTCTTCTCTAATTTCATTGCTCATGCATTTTCCAAACGGTTTCGCTTCATTTCAGTTCTTTACTCATTGATCTTCTGCCAAAATACATTCTATGTCTGACCCACACCATAAACTACTTATATGGATATAAGAAGACCACACCACAGCAGTAGTAGTAGTAGTAGTAGTGGTAGTAGTGTGGCAGGTGCTACTGATGCTGACAGATATATGTAGTATGCATCACCAATCAAAAGTGGAATGTCTGGTGGAAGAAGGTTAAGAAGATCGAATAGAAGAGAACAAGAACAGAGATTGATTGGTACAGAAATGAAGGAACATTCAAGTCTGAGACGGTTAATGAACGTTTTTTTAAATGAAGCATTTACTTTATGGTTCCCAGATTTTACTAAGAGATTCTGTAATTTTGTGTTCTGACACGTTTGGTTGCACCCACATTTGTTTTCATCCACTAGAGTGACAAGAGTAGGAATGGCAGTATGAGTAGTAGTAGTAGTCGATTCAAAACGTTCAGTCTCATTTTCTCCATCATTCTTAGCTGTAATTGGCCGATTCTATCTCAGAGGTTTTATTAATCATGAATCTGTCTTACATTAGAGTAGAAGCTTCGGTTATCTATAATTTCAAATAAAACCTTTCTATTCAAGAAACTATTTGTTAGATTCTTCTTTCTAAAACACCAAATTCCTAATAAAAATAACTAGAATATGTTGTATCGGTTGGCTCGCCTATTAGAGAACAGTGGCTTTGTTGATCACTCAATGACATACAAAAGCCGTATGAGCAGTCTTGAGTACTTATCAGTCCTGCTTTCTGCGTAGCCAAGCCTGTTATGTCCAGAACACCAATAATAGCCTCCGAAATATGAATCATTATTCTCAAATATAGTGGGTTTATACACCAAACAAACTGACCACATCGTACCATAAAATAGAAAATAACATTTGTACAAGATTCAGCTAAATGTGGCTGTGAATAGGGGGAACAGTAATTAATGGACTAGAGATAACTCAAGAATGGTAAATCGTACAGTAATAGTTCATAGGTCAAAATGAAACTTATAATAAGAGGGACACGAATATGAATAATTAAGTTACTTAACAATTATACAATAGGAAATATACATATTACATTGGTTCATAAACAGTCCTCAAAGTTACCATTCATAAATCTCGAAGAACAATATTATCTTAGGTTTTCTAGGATTATAACAAAATAGCAACCATAATACTACTAATAATAGTATTCGTGATAATAATTTCTTGTGTTATTGACTCGGTCTAGTCAACTAACTGATCATTTTGTCTACGTTTTCTCTATCCATTCAAATATCTTTCGATAATCGTAAGTTATTTGAAGATCTACATTGTAATACTCAGTTACTAATGTCAAATAATCACTGCCAGAGCACTTAACCGATAGACCACTGAACTGACCGGCATCCGACGGTGTTAATGTATAACTTCAACCAATCCACGATGTGTTTTTTTGAGCAACCGTTTACCAATTGTCTTCAGTGAGTTGATATCTCTACAGTAGTCTTGGTTGAACTCCACTGGTCACTGCTTCCCACTGGAACTCAAGGAAACATTCTTTACAGTCAGTCACTAGTGAGCATATGATTATAGATCAGAAGGGGTATTCTGTGGAGATTTCGGTATTTTCATAGTCGAAATCATTAGTCAATTGAAGCCAGACCACCATGGAAAACCTGGAAGCACTGGACGGCCGTTTCATCCTATTATGGGAATCCTCAGCAGTGAGCATCCACGATCCCGATAATTGTAAGTTATTTGGAGATGTACATTGGTAATACTCAGTTACTAATGTCAAATAGTCACTGATCAAATAATGTTTGACTTCAATAACTACATTTTTATGATATATGCAAATAATCAATGATTAGAATTTCAGCTAACCGACCTAAATAAGTAGTGTATATATCGATCTATTTAGGGAGCTGAAACGTGGAGAACTACTACATCCATCGTCAAAAAGGTACAAGTATTTATAAACAGTTGTCTATGAAAAATACTCAACATTCACTGACCGGATACTATCAGCAACAGTGTTTTATGGGAGATGATAAACCAGATTCCAGTTGAAGAGGAAACTGGGAAAAGATGTTGGAAGTGGATAGGACATACATTAAGGAAATCACCAATGTGCATTACAAGGCAATCCCTAACTTGAAATCCGGAAGGGAATTGGAAAAGAGGAAGGCCAAATAACACATTTCTCAGTGAAATAGAAGCAGATACGAAAAGGATGAATGTTAACTGGAAAGAACTGCAAAGAATTTTCCAGAACAGGGTTAGATGGGGAATGCTGGTTAGCGGCCTATGCTCCTCTACGAGGGGTAACAGGCGTAAGTAGGTAAGTAAGTAAGTAAGTATATCGATTGATTGTTATCCAATGAGATCGATGACCCTGCTGAATAATAACTTATCTTATTTTGACAGATTACGTAATGCAGAAATCAAGACTATCTTGTTTGCTTTTATTAAATTGATTTACACTACCACATCAAAGGGTAGCGTCCAAATAATATAGGAACAATGAATATAAGAAGGTTCTTATGGGTTCTCAAAAGTAGTGTAGTTCATTATTTGTATACATTCGAATAATTTTTCATTTTGCAAATTTAACCGATGGCAGGTTTAACTATGAAAATTTAGTATTAATATCACAATTTCAATACAGTTTTAGTGTTAGCATTAGATAATTACCTTTGAGTTTAAATGGTCAACTGATCAAAATATCCACTCATTATACTACTTATAAATAAATAACATTAAGCTTTATACTACTTAATTATTAAACTGAACAAAGTGACCTTACATTATTATTCGTACATTCAAGGGGAGATTACGATCGATGGTATGTATAGAATTACAATTTTTTGAACTTCATAGTTAAGAATATGAAGATTCTATGTGTACGTACTACTACTACTACTACTACTACTACTACTACTACTACTACTACTACTACTACTACTAGTAGTAGTAGTAGTAGTAGTAGTGGTAGTAGTGTGGCAGGTGCTACTGATGCTGACAGATATATGTAGTATGCATCACCAATCAAAAGTGGAATGTCTGGTGGAAGAAGGTTAAGAAGATCGAATAGAAGAGAACAAGAACAGAGATTGATTGGTACAGAAATGAAGGAACATTCAAGTCTGAGACGGTTAATGAACGTTTTTTTAAATGAAGCATTTACTTTATGGTTCCCAGATTTTACTAAGAGATTCTGTAATTTTGTGTTCTGACACGTTTGGTTGCACCCACATTTGTTTTCATCCACTAGAGTGACAAGAGTAGGAATGGCAGTATGAGTAGTAGTAGTAGTCGATTCAAAACGTTCAGTCTCATTTTCTCCATCATTCTTAGCTGTAATTGGCCGATTCTATCTCAGAGGTTTTATTAATCATGAATCTGTCTTACATTAGAGTAGAAGCTTCGGTTATCTATAATTTCAAATAAAACCTTTCTATTCAAGAAACTATTTGTTAGATTCTTCTTTCTAAAACACCAAATTCCTAATAAAAATAACTAGAATATGTTGTATCGGTTGGCTCGCCTATTAGAGAACAGTGGCTTTGTTGATCACTCAATGACATACAAAAGCCGTATGAGCAGTCTTGAGTACTTATCAGTCCTGCTTTCTGCGTAGCCAAGCCTGTTATGTCCAGAACACCAATAATAGCCTCCGAAATATGAATCATTATTCTCAAATATAGTGGGTTTATACACCAAACAAACTGACCACATCGTACCATAAAATAGAAAATAACATTTGTACAAGATTCAGCTAAATGTGGCTGTGAATAGGGGGAACAGTAATTAATGGACTAGAGATAACTCAAGAATGGTAAATCGTACAGTAATAGTTCATAGGTCAAAATGAAACTTATAATAAGAGGGACACGAATATGAATAATTAAGTTACTTAACAATTATACAATAGGAAATATACATATTACATTGGTTCATAAACAGTCCTCAAAGTTACCATTCATAAATCTCGAAGAACAATATTATCTTAGGTTTTCTAGGATTATAACAAAATAGCAACCATAATACTACTAATAATAGTATTCGTGATAATAATTTCTTGTGTTATTGACTCGGTCTAGTCAACTAACTGATCATTTTGTCTACGTTTTCTCTATCCATTCAAATATCTTTCGATAATCGTAAGTTATTTG